GTGTTACTGTGAATAATGCTGCGATGCGCATAGGAGTGTGGATATCTTTCTGAGATCCAGTTTTTTTAAAAAATTAATTTATTTTTGTTACAGATGTTTCTCCTTTTTCCCCCCCTGATTCCCCCTCCCTCCCTGCCCTGTCCCCAGCTTTGTTGTCCATGTCCATTCTTCATGCATACATGCATATAAGTTCTGTGGTTTCTCTCTCTTCCACCACCCCCACCACCCCCTGTTCTGGGGATTGTCAGTCTATACCCCACTTCCACGTCTCTGGGACTACCCCATTTCTCAGACTGTTATGTTCATTATAGTCCACAAATAAGTGAGATCATACGATACTTGTCTTTCTCTGTTTGGCTTGTTTCGCTTAGGATGATACTTTCCAGGTCCCTTCATGTCGTCTCAAAGGATAAGAGATCTTTCTTTCTTACAGCTGCATAGTACTCCATTGTGTATATGTACCACCACTTTTTTATCCATTCGTCTACTGATGGACACTTGGGCTGTTTCCAGATCTTAGCTATTGTAAATAGAGCTGCTATGAACATGGGGGTACATATATTCTTTCTGATTGGTGTTTCAGGCTTCTTAGGGTATATTCCTAGAAGTGGGATCACTGGGTCAAATGGAAGTTCAACTTTTAAATTTTTGAGGTAACACCATAGTGTTTTCCACAGTGGCTGCACAGTCTGCATTCCCACCAGCAGTGTACTAGAGTCCCCTTTTCTCCACACCCTCGCCAACACTTGTTGTTTGATGATTTGTTGATGGCGGCCATTCTGACAGGTGTGAGGTGATACCTCATTGTTGTTTTAATTTGCATCTCTCTGATGATTAGTGATGTTAAGCATTTCTTCATATGTCTTTTGGCCATTTGTATGTCCTGTTTGGAGAGGTGTCTATTTAGTTCCTCTGCCCATTTTTTAACTGGGTTCTTTGTCTTCCTTTTGTTGAGTTGTGTAAGCACTCTCTATATATTGGAAATTAACCCCTTATGAGATCCAGTTTTTATTTCCTTTGAATATATTACCCAAAAGTGGGATTGCTAGATCATATGGTGGTTTTATTTTTAATGTTTTGAGGGCCCTCCATCCTATTTTCCATAGTGGCTGCACCAGGCAGTGGGAGAGCCCATTCTTTCTTTTTTTAAGATTTTTTAAAAAAGATCTTTAGAGAGGGAGAGAGAAAGAAACATTGGTGTGAGAACATCATCCATCTGTTGCCTCCTGCATGCCCCCTACTGGGGATCGAGCCCGCAACCCAGGCATGTCCCTGATGGGGGATCAAACCGTAACCCTTCAGCGAGCCCCACTGGCCAGGGCAGGAGAGCCCCTTCTTTACCCAGAACTTGCTCTGTATCTAAGGGGGTTCCAGAGCAGTAACAGCTCTTCACACACCCTCCACCAAAACCTTAGTATCTCGGGGATCTTGTGGCCACAGAAGGTCAGGTGGTGTCCAGGTGTGCAGTTCGTAGAGTGAGGGATGGGCTGCTCCTGATGGTGTCCCAGGGCATCAGTGATGACAGACACTGTCCCCCGCCTGCTGCTGAACACATTCCTGTGAGACAGTGTGTGCTCGGTGGTAATGCAAAGATGATGAGGATTAAAGATCCCTCTCCCCCGAACCCCACTCACAATTGCATTTTGGTGAGGTCTTCTCATTTTGCTTTGTGGACTGTTACTGCTAATTATTACACATGCCTCAAAGCCTAATTGTGAAGCCAGAAACCCAGGCTTTCTTCCTGAGGATTGAGGACGATTCTGTTATTCTCACTTATTTTCTGAGTTTTGGAAATAAGCTCTGTGGTTCGGAGGACAGGAAGCTGCTATTGGGCAGTATGGGCCATCTCCTACCTTCCCTCCAAGATACTGACAAGTGCAGCTCATCACGCAAAGCATGGTGGGAGGGCTAATTAGTTGCTAGGCAACTGATTAAATGAAGGAAGCCATGCTTTGTAGAGACTGGCACATAGTCTTTAAGTAGCTATGAAGTTTTGATTGTCAATAGTATAAAAAATACTTGATTGCAAAGAGTGAAAAATACTTGGCAGAGGCAGTGAGCTCAAAACCATAGACAGATGATGATCATGAGGGACCAAGTCCAACCACTTCCGAGGTATATTTCTTTTCTTTTTTATCCTCACCCGAGGACATTTTTCCATTTTTCATTCAGATAGAGTGAGAGGGAGGGAAGGAGAGAGAGAGAGAGAGAGAGAAACATCGACGTAAAAGGGACACATCGAGTGGCCGCCACCCACATGACCCAACCAGGGCCGGGGACAAACTGCAACCGAGGTACATGCCCTTAGCGGGAACCGAACCCGGGTCTCTCTGGACCGCAGGCCGGGCCGAGGTGTATTTCTTACATGGAACACAGCAGTGGCTCCAGGACTGACGCCTGGAGGTCCAGTTCTCTCCTCTCCCTTCCCAGCCCCTTTTCCTTATACTTTCTTTCTCCTTCTTCCATCCCCCGTTCTCCATCCACATTCTCCCTTCCCCACCTTCTCTCTGCCACTGTGTATGCGCTTGGGCTGCCGTGACAAGGTCCCATAGACAGGGTGGCTTCAACAGTGGAGGTTTAGCCCTGGCCAGTGGCACAATGGTTAGAGCCTCGGCTCCTGGACCGAAAGTTCTTGTGTTCACATCCTGGTCAAGGGCATGTACCTGGATTGCAGGTTCAATCCCCGGCCTGGTTGGGGTCCTGCAGGAGGCAACCAACTGATGTGTCTTTCTCACATTAATGTCCCCCCCCCCTCCACTCCATCTAAAAAATCAATGGAAAAATATCCTCGGGTGAGGATTAACAACAGCAAAATGAAAAACAAAACAAAACACCAGCGGAGATTAATTTTCTCACGCCCTGGAGGCAGATGTCTAAGCTCAGGGTGTCACCGAGTTGGTGTCTTCTGCGGCCTCTCCTTCGCCTGGGCGGCCGTCTTCTCCTGTCCCTTCACCTCATCTCCCCTCTGTGTGTGTCTGTGTCCCAATCGCTTTTTACAGGGACATCAGTCATGTTGGATTGTAGTCCACCCTCATGACCTCATTTTCACTGAATTACCTCTTTGAAGGCCTTATCTCCAACTGCAGTCACTTTCTGGGGATTAGAACATCAACATAGGAATTTTAGGGGCGCACAGTTCCCATAACCACCACCCTCCTCCTCTACCCCCTCTATATTCTCCATGTTCTCCATCCACCCTCCGCCCCACTCTTCCATCCTCCTTTCTCCTCCCCTCCTTCCTTCCGCACCCCTTCCCAGCCTCCAGCGCGCAGCCATCGTCACTCGCACTCGGTGACCCTGTACTCAGCCGCCTATTGCGGAGGCTCTGGGGCTGCAGAGGTGCCAGGGGCAGACCCACGGGAAAGAATCAATCACAACAGAGTCCAGGTGCCCGGACCCAGGGAGCCAGGCAGGCGGGGGTGTGCAGGCTCAGAGCAGGGGCAGACCGCGAGGCACCTCGGGGCACAAGCGGGCACACGCTGAGCAGAGAAAGGGGAGGAAAGAGGCCACCACGGGAGGAACGGGGTGAGCCGGGACCAGAGGCGGGGAAGCGCAGTGGGGGGTCAGTGGGCTGCTGTCAGAAGCCTCGCAGGGGAGGCTGGGCAAGGTGCCTGAGCTGAGGGGCCTGGGGGCTGTCTGAGGGAGGCCTACACCGCGGGGGAGGTGAATGAGGCCACCCAAAGGGTTGCAGCCAAAGTTCCACGTCACGTAGCGTATGAGGATAAAATTGATGATGCATTGGGATTGAGCTTTCTGAATCTCTAGTAAACCCGGGGAAGTGGGGGAGCATAGTCACATCGAAACCCAAGAGGACATAGCAGAGAGTGAGACGGCCACTACTCAGGACGTGCTCCAGAGACCTGGGCTCCCAGCTTGCTCTGCCTTCAGACCGCTGTGTGATCTTGGGCAAATCACCTAAGCTCTCTGGGCCACATATTCTGTGTTGGACCAGGGGAGGAAGGGACTAGACCAGAGGTTTCCAGTGATGAGTCACCAGCCCCAATATGGAAGGCGAATGAAACTGACATGTGGGTCGCGTCACAACGGCCTCCAGGTCCCTGGCAACAGACTCTCTGTCCCCTCAAGCTCTTCCTGTGAGAACAAAACCCTAGCCTCCCCACTCCGTGATCCCAGGTCTACTTGTGAGAAAAGGGTGATTGGTTTTCAGCCGAGAACCCCCAAAGCTTTCCTCGCTTAGTATAAAACCCATTACTGTAGTAACTTGGAACTCATCTCTACGCAAAAGTATTTAATAGGTACTGACTGTGGCTAAGAACTTTTGCTAATTACCCTAAAGATACAAAAAGAAATTGGGTGGTCTGACTGCTTTTCAAATTTATGACATTTTTTTTTCTTATAAAAGCCTCACACTTTTGAAAAATGTTAGACGTTTTTTGGTTTTTTTTTTTTTTTTCCATTTTAATGTTAATATTGAAAGACTCTCCCATCAGTCTTACTGATATTTTCATGGGTCCTGTTTTCTTCCACGCCCCTCGCCAGCCCAGCGTGAAGAGGGTTAGAATCACCATTCAGTGAGTCTGGGTACTCGCCAGACAACAGGTGTGCAGACACGGATTGTCTGGGGTGACTGTGTTAAAAGTGGTATGGCCCTGGCTGGGTTTCTCAGTGGTTAGAGCACAGGCCTGAGGACCAGGTCACAGGTTCGATTCCCAGTCAAGGGCATGTACATGGATTGCAGGTTCCATCCCTGGTCTAAGTGTATTTCTCTCACATCAATGTTTCTCTCTCCCTTCCTCCCTCCCTTCCATTCTCTAAAAATCAATGGAAAAAATATCCTCTGGTGAGGATTAACAAAAAGAAAAGATTATGAGTTTGGGTGGGGTACTCATGGGAGCCCAGTGGTTATCTCATCCCCCACGTCCCATGTTGTCCTTGTTTCTTTAATATTTTATTAATATTTAATATCTAAAATATTAGAGACATCTTTGCTTATCCTTAACCCACTAAATCTATTCTGTGTCCCCTATCTACTCCCCCAGGAGAAAAGAGGAAGATTTGCAGACTTGTTGGAGGCTAAATACTTACGGACCACGCTGCAGATCTGGGTCATATGGTAAGAAGGGAGTTGTTTCCGCTCTGGCCAGGTGGCTCGGTTAGTTGGAGCGGCTTTGGGGTCAACTCCCGGTCGGGGTACACACCGAGGCTGCGGGTTTGATCCCTGGTACAGGAGGCAACCAATTAATGTTTCTCTGTCACCGTTGATGTTTCTCTCCCTTCTTCTCTCTCAAAAGAGTCCATTAAAAAACATATCCTCAGTCGAGGATTGAAAAAAAAAAAGAATGTTGTTATTTGGAAATGAGTTAAAGGAACAAGCATTTGGAGAAAACCTACTAAAGTAAACCCACTCGGAATACTACTGGGGAGAAAAATACCATACCAGAAAGACCCCAGCAATCTCTTATCTTTCTACTAACACCACCGACCAGAGAGTTAGATAAAATAACAATTTAAAAAAAGGAGAGAAAGAAAAAAACCCTAATAGTCTACAGTTTTTTTGTTTTGGTTTGTTTTTTAAATCCTCACCTGAGGATATTTTTCAATCTGTCTTCTGATAGAATGGGAGGGAAGGAGGGAGGAAGAGGGGGAGAGACAGAGAGAAACATCGATGTGAGAGGGACACATAGACTGGTTGCCTCCCACAAGACCCCGACCAGGGCCGAGGACCGAAGCACAACCAAGGTACGTGCCCTTGACCGGAATCAAACCCATGACTCTTTGGTCCGTGGGCCAACGTTCTAACCACTGAGCCAAACTGGCCAGGGCTTCCGCTTTTTATTTTTCATCTGCACAGGAGCTCGCTTCCTAACCTTGTGAAGTCTCGTTCATCATTACAAATCCTCCTGAAGGGCCCATATTAAAGACTGACGGCACCAAGTGTTGGAAGGCTGTAGAGTAACGGGAACTGTTGCACACACTGCCCGTTAGAGTTCAAGTTGTACAACCACTTTGGAAAGCTGTCTGGGGACATCTATGATTGTTGAAAATATGCACAGCCCACGGCTCAGCAGTTCTGTTCCTGGGTTGACACCCAGCAGAAATGCATACATACATTTACCAAAAGACAGTTGACATGAATGTCCAGAGCATTATTAAATTTCTAACAGCCCCAAACTACAAACAGCCCACGTGCCCATCGACCGTATGATGGATAAATTGTGCTATATTCGTGAAATAGAATACTAAACAACAATAAAGATGAGAAAACTAGTAGCCAACACCCAGCATTGCTGAATCTCACAAATGAGCAAAGGGAGCCAGGCACACGTAGTACAGGTTATGTGATTCCATTTACACGGAGATAGAAAGTAGGCAAAACTGATCTACAGCGTCTGAATTCAGGAAAGTGGTTGTTTCTCTGCCTTCTTCAGATATAATCATTATCAATAGGTTGGTCTGTCTCCCCTTGACACTTTAATTTTCTTTCCTTTTTATTGATTTTAGAGAAAGAGGAAGGGAGAGGGAGAGAGAGATAGAAACATGATGAGACAGAAACATGATGAGAGAGAACATCGACTGGCCGCCTCCTGCATGCCCCCCACTGGGGATCTGGCCCACAACCTGGGCATGTGCCCTGACTGGGAATCGAACCGGTGACCTCTTGGTGCATGGGTCGACACTCACCCACTGAGCCACACCGTCCGGATGACACTTTAATTTTAAAAATGCCCTTAATATTTGGAAATTAAACAAATTAAAGCTACTTGAATAACAAGGGGAGACATTTTGATTGTTTTCTTTTAAAATATCTCATTATGGCCCTGGACAGTTAGGCTCAGCGGTTAGAGAGCATCAGCCCTTGGTCCAGAGAGACCTGGGCTTGGTTCCCGCTAAGGGCATGTACCTCAGTTGCAGTTTGTCCCCAGCCCGGTTGGGGTCATGAGGGTGGCAGCCACTCAATGTGTCCCTTTCACGTCGCTGTTTCTCTCTCCCCCTCCCTCTTCCTCTCTCTCCCTCCCGCTCTATCTGAACAAAAAATGGAAAAATGAGGATAAAATAAATAAATAAAATAAAATATCTCTTTATGAACATTTCCAAACACGACGTGAGAGGCCGCCATGATGACCTGGGATCCCTCCTTGCCCGGACCTGACGGGCAAGGAGATTCACCCATATTTGCTGTGGCTACATTCTTCCTGGGCTGAAGTACTTCCAAGCGAGCCCGGGCTTCATGACCTGGCACCCCCAGGTCCTCCAGTAAGTCTCACGTGCACGAGGACGTTTTCTCAGAGACTCCAATCCTGCGGGCACACGGACAGGAGTAACAGGCATCACCCTGACATCCTCCAAAGCCCAGAACAGGTGTGCTTTCCCGGACTGTCCCCACGTGTTCGGTCGGTGGCTTTTACAACCCTTTCTGCAGAACTGGAGGGACACACGGGGAGTTCCGGGGAGGCTGTTTTTTCCTTGACTTTGATATATGAACTTTTCTGTATGTTATTTTAATATCTTATTAAAGATCTTTATAAGAGAATGGGGAGAAAATATAAAGCAAATACAAAAACCTTCCTTGGCTCCTGGTGGCCTGCTCAAGGCCCTTGGTGACCCCAGGATGGCGCCAGCTCCTGGCGATGCAAACTAACACTAACTGGGCGCTGATGGGAGGGGACTGTGTCCAGGTGTTTAAGATCACAGGCCTTAAAGTAGGGGGACAAGTCTGGATTGGCAGGCGGGCCCCACTGGGTCACGGAGTCCGTGAAGGTAGAGGAATGTCTCCCGCTGGGCTGGGCCTGCAGAAGGGAGACCGAGGAGGAGGCGGCCGGAGCGAGCAGAGAGCAGAGCAGGAGCCGGACGCTCTGCAGGCTGCTGGCTTCGAGGACCAGAGCGAGGGGAGCAGGTGGAGGCCGAGCGGCTGGTCAGCCACCAGCAGCGGGGATGAGTCCTCGCCGCCCGGGCCGCGTCCTGCCGACCATCTGGGGAGCCTGGAAGAGGATTCTTCCCCCCAGAAGGGAGGGGACCCTGCCTACACTTTCCTGCCTGCCACAGACTCGGAGCAGAGGGCTCGGCCAGACCCACGAACCTCTGACCTCCGGAACTGAGAGACCAAACAAGTGTTTTAAGCCACAGAGTCTGCTAATTTGTTACAACAGTGACAGAAAATGAATCTAGACCTTGAACTCCACCGGCCTGTGGGGTAACCCGCCCCCTCCCGCTGTCAAAAATCAGGGTCCCCGCCCTGGCCGGTTTGGCTCAGCGGTTGGAGTGTCCGCCTGCGGTCCAGAGAGACCTGGGTTCGGTTCCCGCTAAGGGCATGCACCTCGGTTGCAGTTTGTCCCCGGCCCTGGTTGGTCGTGCGGGTGGCAGCCACTCGATGTGTCCCTTCACGTCGATGTTTCTCTCTCTCTCTCTCCCTCCCACTCTATCTGTACAAAAAATGGAAAAATGTCCTCGGGTGAGGATAAAAAAAAAATCAGGGTCCCCTGTGTGGCCTCCAGTGCCCCCAGATATGTGGGCCCAGCCTTCTTCCCCCTCTCCTCGCTCTGCTGTCCCCCTGCAGCTCTGGTGGCACCTGGTTCTTCTCGTGTCCCTCTTGTCTTCTTCCTAGGCTAGGCATCTCCTTCGCCTACTACGGGATCATCCTGGCCAGCACTGAGCTGCTGGAGCGGAACCTGGTCTGTGGTTCGGGGTCCGAGGTGGTGATGAGCGTGGGGGGCCCAGAGGAGAGCACAGAGGGAAGCCAGAGCCCCTGTTACTGCCACATGTTCAGCCCTTCCGACTACCGGACCATGATTATCAGCACCGTTGGTGAAATCGCTTGTAAGTGTCTCTGTTGCGGGCAGGGGACAGGCAACTCAGCCTCGGAGGAGAGACGTGTGACCCTCGTGGACTTGAGTGACCCCCCGGATCGTGCCGACAGCCTGCAGTGTGAACTGCGGTGGGGAGGAGACGTCTGGAGGGGCAGAGCTTTGAATGACTAAATTCTAGCAATTCTAAGAGGCCCCTTTTCCCTTCACATTTTGCCATCTCTGAAACTGGGATGTGTCTCACAATGGTGTGTTACATTGTAACTGGCGGTCCTAGCTCTGTTTTAGGAGGCATAAAATGATGGCACTTAAAATTCAATGGCACCTTGAATTTGATGAACCACAGTAAAACATTTACAGTATAGGGCTAGCAAGCGGGCAGTTTGCCGTAGACGCCCACGATGAGCATGCTGGGCATGAGATACCCTTTGTACGCACCAGTGCTCGTCATTCTGGGACCCACGTGGGGAAAGTGTGTCGAAGGTGGATGACAATGTGCCTGGGTCTCGGCCGGAATACGCACGAGGCTTGGGTGAAGTTGCTTCTTTCTGAAAGGATAAAGAGGGCTCCATGCCATGGCTGATAAATGCCACTGGCTGTCAAGGTTCCCGAGATTGTCTTTGTCATTTGCTCCCCAGTGAACCCTCTAAACATCCTGGGCATTAATTTCCTGGGCAGACGGCTGAGCCTTTCCATCACCATGGGATGCACGGCTCTGTTCTTCCTTCTCCTCAATATCTGCACTTCAAGGTATTTGCTCTGGTTGCTTCCAGATCACTGGGTTTTGTGCGGTGGTTTTCAGATGGGGTCTTCTAATCCATAATGTTCTTGGGGGTCGGGTCGAGGCCCTTTCAGGAGAGTAGAGGATGGACTGCTTATTTGTCTAGAATGATCTTGCCTGGCACCTACCCTGGTACCTCCCTCTTCCCACGGACCCCGCCCCTCTTCAGCTATCACAGGATATGGGCACCAGTGTGGGTGTGCTCACTTTGCTCGCCAAATATTTAGGATCTTTATGCAAAGCTGACTGGAGAAACGGGACTCTAGTCGTTAAGCAAATTATCCTGGCCATAGTGAAGATAGTTTAGTGATGTATAATATAATATAACATAACATAATATATAAAATAGATCTGTGGTGTGAAAATTCACTCCTTTAAAAAAATTTTTTTTATTGATTTTTAGAGAGAGAGGAAGGGAGAGAGAGAGAAACATCGATGAGAGAGAACATCAGTTGGCCGCCTCCTGCATGCCCCCCACTGGGGATCAGGCCCACAACCTGGGCATGTGCCCTGACCAGGAATCGAATCTGCGACCTCTCGGTGCATGGGTCAGTGCTCAACCACTGAGCCACACTGGTCAGGCATATTTCACTCTTAATTTGTGACCCTAGAGTGGCCTCAGTTATAATATATATCATTTATTCTACAACCTGTCTGCGCCATTTTTGGGGGGGTGGGGCCCAGGCTGGAATGACACACCTGGGGGAGTGGAGAAGGTGGGGAGTAGGACTGAAGGTTTGAGTCAGACATTTGCTGAGGCCCCCAAAATCAGGCCCGCGGAGAAGCAGCTGGCTGTCTGCGGGTGTGCGTCAGCATCTGTAACCCACTTGGCTGCGGCCATGGAAGGCCTCTGTTGCCTGTGGTAACTCTTGCTTCCTGTCCCCTAGTGCCGGCCTCACGGGCTTCCTCTTCACGCTGAGGGCTTTGGTGGCAGCCAACTTCAACACCATCTACATTTACACTGCTGAGGTCAGTTTTAGGGGAGGGGTTGGTTCCATTGGGGTGCAGACGAGCTACTTTAGAGACGATGCCCATCCATTGAAAAGGTATCCCTGGCTTTGGCTGACGTTGGGTGATTTTCTAAAACCATCCATTAAAACTATGCCAGAAGGTTTATTTGACTTCCCCTTGCTCCAGTGAGTCTAGTGAAAGCCAGTGTCTGAGCAAAGGATGGGATCTTCTCCCCTTGTCCCTCAATGTCATTTATAGGAAAACGACTCCTTGTCCTAATGCCGTGATTCCAGAAGACATGGGGCCCGTAGCTGTTAGAATGTAAATCTCCCGCTTTCTCTCCCGTTTTGAAATGAGGATATATTGTTCCCCTTTATTCCTTTGAAAGATCACACCCCCTTCATCTGTATTTCCTGCATGCGGCTTGCATTGAAATGTAACCTTCAATGCATTCTTCCTTCATGCTTTGAATGGAGACATCTACTGTATGCAAGGAAGGCACTACTGAGGGAGCCAAGGTCTGCTCATAAACCCTCGCTTTAAAGAGCGAACATCCCTGGAAATGCGGTTTCTGTAGAGGACACGGGATTTTGACCGGCGGCGTCATTCACTGAGCTGGAGGAGTGCTGTGCTCTGGGGACTTGGGAGCCGCCCTTGTTCCACGCCTGGGGACGCGGGCCGTGCACAGGACAGGCAGGCCGGGTCAGAAACCGGAAAGCCACCGAGAAATACTCTCCTCGCCCAGACGAAAATAGGCAATCGAGACATACACATGGCACTTCATTTCATTCCATGAACAACATCTTCTAAAACTATTTTGTGCGTTTATGAACCTAAGCGCCGGTGTGTAATATGCTTCTAAAGTTATATTTGGAATATTCACTTTAACATTTTGGAATGTTTTCATTTACAGGTCATTTCTAAGCATATTTCCCCCACCCCCCACCCCCCGATACTTATTTAAAAATTCATCTATTATTCTATCTCCTGGAATTGTCAAAATATGAACAAAAGGCATTATTCTTAAATAGGGAGCAGAACACCAGCGTGAATCTGAATCCACTGTTTTCTGGTGTAGTCAGCAGCCTGGTTTCCTGGGAGAGAAAGGCTCCCCGTGAGGCGCCCGCCCGACCTCCGACCTCCGACCTCCGACCTCCGACCTCCGACCTCCGACCTCCTAGCACAGCAGTGGCCGTGCGGGAAGGCACCTTGCTTTGTACTCGGTGCTGGTGGCTGGCGAGACGTGGCCTAGCAAAGGGGCAGTGTGCTGTGTTTTAGTGAAATGACCAAAACTGGGTTTTGTTTTGTTTTTTGTTTGTTTTGTATAGTATTGAGAGAAAATTCTCCAGGGTTTGGAAAAACCACTCTTTATATATTCTCTTTAATCTCATTTTTAAAATAACATTTGCTTATGCATTAAACTTTTGCTCTAAGAATTCTGAATTGATGAGGTACAGATTAGTGAGTTTTTCCTGTAAGAGAGTTGCAGGAGGAAAGTAGATTGTACCCTAAGATTCTGCAGCGAGAGCATAATGAGTGGGGTGGCATGTGTTTGGCCCTGCATCTTTATTTAAGGTTTCAGTGAATCATCATCATTATTATTAAAAAAGTTTTTTTTTCTTTATTGAGCTTAGAGAGAGAGGAAGGGAGAGAGAGAGAGATAGAAACATCAACGAGAGAGAACATCCATTGGCTGCCTCCTGCATGCCCCCCACTGGGGATCGGGCCCTCAACCTGGGCATGTCCCCTGGCTGGGAATCGAACCGGTGACCTCTTGGTGCATGAGTTAACACTCAACCAGTGAGCCACACTGGTCGGGCAAATCATCATTATTTGGGGAGTATTTTCTTTCCGTAGAACCACCTTTATGCATCTATAGCTCAAAGAGGAAATCCGATTCCACAGGTTGCTTTTCTGAAATTATATTTTGAATATTCAATTAAATGCAGAGTTTGGAATTTGCTCACATAAAGGATAATTTCTAAGTGTTTATCCTTCTCGTAATAGATATGGTTTAAACATTCAAAGCTGTGTACTGGAGAAAATGAATGTCTTCTATTCTATATCCTATATAGAATGCTTGATATTTGACATATGGGAATGGACTAAAGTAGGTTTACAGTTGTGAGTACACCAAACACAGTTTATTCTTGTATTATTGTTTATTAATTGTGTTTTTTTTTTTAATTTGTATTATTTGTCTTTGCTTCTTGTTATAGTTTTGTACCCTTACTTATGATTTATCTTGTAGGTCATTTCCCTACTCTGTCCGCCTCCAGATGTGCCCACGCCTGACCTGGGCGGGAAGGAAGAGGGGGCAGAGGCCTGAACTAACTGTGCTCTGTGCCCTCCCTCCAGGTCTACCCCACCGTGATGCGCGCTCTGGGGATGGGGATCAGCGGCTCCCTGTGTCGCATTGGGGCAATGGTGGCACCTTTTATATCCCAGGTACACCCAGGAGTTTCTGCAGGAGGGTGGGTCTCGGGGACGTGCATAAAGAGGGACCCCAGACCCTTCAGGTTAAGGGTGTCACCAGGATTTCCGTTTATTGAATGAGTTTCCTTGAGGACAGGGAAGGAAGCTAAGTTACTGCGTCCAGGCGTCCAGTAGCTGCAGGCATTGCGCTGTGAGCAGGGTTTGGGTTTTGTTGGGGGAGGATGCTGGAGACATGGGTGACCCTGGGAGCTTGAGCAGTTGCATGACAACGGGTCTAACTTTGACCCTGGCCAGAGGTGCAGCTGAACAACAGAGCGGAGGGGCAGGGCCGAGGCCTTGGGCGGGTCGGCCCAGTGCTCAGGCGAACTGGACACAGGCTGGGATGAGATCCAGGGCTGACTTGGACCCGGGGCTGGAGCATTGTTTCAGGAGGAAAACAGGCGGGTTCGGCAGCCTGCATGGATGTGCTGCGTCCGAGGGCGAGCGGGCTGGTCCCCTCCGCTCATTCTCTTCTGGCCCTAAGAGGCAGGAGTCCGTCTGAGCCGGCTGCAACCAGAAAAGCAGGCGGGAGGCTGGGCCTGGGAGGGCTGGGTCCAGCCTGCGGCAGCCGGGAACCCGGCCTGGGCCTCCTCGGGTCTGCCTGGGCCCAGGTCACTCCCCCGGCCTCTCTCCCTGAAGGCCGGGTGCTGCGCTTGCCTGTGCCCGTGGCCACCCCACAGATCCCAAACGTGTCCTTAGATCCGGCCACCAGGAGACTGGGTGCGCTCTCTGCAGAAAGGGACTGTCATTGGCCGGGTCTGGGTAATTGTTCACACTTGAGCTAAATCTGTTTGGGCCAGGAGTCCGGGTTGCGGACAGATGCCGCTGAAAGGGGTTTGCGATAGTGTGCTTTGTGTCAAGAAAGGTGTTTTCGGTCCTCGTCCTGGTTTGTGACACAGCTCCTGAAACCCGTGTGATTTCTCACGCCATGAGAGCCACAGGATGTCTCGTTATGTTGAAGAGGTGACTTTGGCTGTACCTAAGGATGGGGACCGGTGGCCAGGAGAACCAACCATGTGGCTACAGGGCTGAGATTTTCAGTCCCACTGCGGTGACCTCTGGGAAGAGCAGAGGGGCTGGAAGTTGATTCTGTCACCAAAGGCCAGGGATTTAGTCAATCCCTGTATACTGAAGCCTCCATAAAAACCCAAAAGGCAGGGTTTGGAGAGCTTCCCAGTGGGGAACCAGAATGCTTTGCGTGCCATTGTGCTGGGCCCCAAACTCCACAAGGACAGAAGTTCCTTTGTTTGAGACCTCGCCCTCTGTGTCTCTTCATCTGCTTTTGATTCCTGCCCTCTGCTGTCCTTTGTTGTAATGACAGTCTAGTGAGGAAGCAGGTTCCTCAGTCATGCCGACTGCTCCAGCTCATTCACCAAAGAGGGGTCGTGGGAACCTGTTTTTCAGCCAGCTGGTCAGAAGTACAGGTGACAACCAGGACGGTGACTGGCATCTCCGTGGGGGGTGGTCTTGTGGATGGAGCCCTCAGCTGTGGGGTCTGATGCTGCCTCCAGGAGATGGTGCAGGGTGGAGTAGCCTGGTGGCGTGGGGAGAACCCCTGCGGCACATGGTAACTGGCTGTTGTCATGGGCCGAGCAGACTGTAACAGGTATTTCCTGTAGCTCATCAGAGACGGTCACCGCTAACTTTTTACCGTCTTGGGTGTGCTGAGTTATTCGTCTTAAGGAAAAGTGGGGGCAGCTTTTGTCTCATGGTTTTGCTTTTCAGAGCTCTTTTGGACTATCACCATTTTCAGAAAAGGTCGGCCTGGTGAAAGATAGCTATGGAATATTGATCCTGTTTCAGAGGACAGTTCATGTTCCAAGATTCAATCAAGAACTGAGTCTCCGGGTTCTCAACCACTGGAGACACTTTCTCTGCGTGTTTGTGGGCGTCTACCCTGAGATCACCCTGTGTTTGGGGGGTTTATGGATCAGACATGATCCCCAGTGGCGACCAGGTCTCCTGGGGTCATAAAGCTCTGCTCTGCTTAGCATCTTGCAGCTGCCCAGTTCTAAACTCTTTAAAAAAATTTTTTTTTATTATGAATTAACTTATTTTTGTTACAGATGTTTCTCCTTTTTCCCCCCTAGACACCCTCCTCCCCAATCCCGTCCCCCCAGCATTGTTATCTATGTCCATTGGTTATGCACACATGCATGTAAGTTCTTTCGTTTATTTCATTTCCCACCCCTCCCCCCTCCCCCCAAGGTTTGTCAGTCTGAACCATATTCCTTTCTATGTCTCTGGATCTATTTTGTTTATTAGCTTATTTTGTTCACTGTATTCTACAAATAATTGAGAACATGTGATATGTGTCTATCTCTAACTGGCTTATTTTGCTTAGCATAATACTCTCTTCATCCCTTCATGTCATCTCAAAGGGTGAGAGATCTTTCTTACAGCTGCATAGTGTTCCATTGTGTACATGTACCACAGCTTTTTTATCCACTCATCTATTGATGGACACTTGGGCTGTTTCCAGATATTAGCAATTGTCCGTTTGCTTGGAAGATTTTTTTCTATCCCTTCACTTTCAACCTATGTGAGTCTTTTGTTTTGAGGTGTGTCCCTTGTAAACAACATATATATAAGTCATACTTTATTATCCAATCAGCTACTCTGCGTCTTTTGAGCAGATCATTTAATCCATTTACACTTAAGGTTATTATTAATATGTATTTATTTATTGCCATTTATGTTTATTGTGGTTATATTTTTCTTCCTGTTCTACTAATTACAGCAGTTCTTTTAACATTTCTTGCAGTGCTGGTTTGGTGCCAATATATTCCCTTAGCCTTTTTTAGGGAGTTCTTTATTTCACATTCTATTTTGAATGATAGCCTTGCTGGATACAGTAGTCCTGGATTCAAATCCTTGTTTTTATTACCTTGATTACTTTATGTCATTCCCTTCTGGCCTATAGTTTCTGTTAAGAAGTCAGCTGATAGCCTTATGAGGGTTCCTTTTAGGTAACCTGTTGCTTATCTCTTGCTGCCGTTAGGATTCTCTCTTTGTCTTTAATTTTGGGCATTTTAATTTTCATGTCTTGGTGTGGACCTGTTTGGGTTCTTCTTACTTGGAGCTCTCGGTGCTTTTTGAACTTATATGCCCTTTTTCTTCACCAAGTTAAGGAAGTTTTCTTCAAATATATTCTCTAACCCTTGCTCATTTTCTTCTTCTGGAGTTCCTGTGATGTGGATGTTGTAATGTGTCATGTTGTCCCACAGTTCTCTTAAGCTGTATTCCTGGGTTTTTTTGTTTTTGTTTTTTTATCCTCACCTGAGGACATTTTTCCATTTTTTGTTCAGATAGAGTGGGAGGGAGAGAGAGAGAGAGAGAGAGAGAGAGAAACATCAGTGTGAAAGGGACACATTGAGTGGTTTCCACCTGCACGACCCAACCAGGGCCGGGGACAAACTGCACCTGAGGTATGTGCCTTTAGTGGGAACCAAACCCGGGTCTCTCTGGACCACAGGCCGACGCTCTAACTGCTGAGCCAAACTGGCCAGGGCTGTCTTCCTGTTTAATTTTTTTTTCTTTTGATTCTCTAATTGGGTAATTTTTCCTACCTTGTCTTCTAATTCACTGATCCAATCCTTGGCTTCCTTTACTCTGATGCTTATTCCTTCCAATGTATTTTTTATTTCTGTATGTCATTCTTTATTTCTGCTTTGTGGCTTTTCATTTCCAATTGGTTGATTTTTCAATGTTTCTTCTGTGTCTGTACTCATATTGTTGAGCTTCCTCATTATCATCTGAACTCCACCTCTGATCACTTGCTTAACTGCATTTCATTGGTCTCTTTTTTGGTAGAGTTATCTTGTTCTTTCATTTGGGATTTGTTTCTTTGTTTTGCCATTTTGGCTGTCTCAGAGGGTTTTGGAGCCTGCCAAATTTTCCCTGTGGGTGTTGGTGTTCCTCTGGTTGTGGCTCCCTCTACTGGGTTTGGATGAGTGTAGGAGAACCCATGTTAAACATCACTGTCAAGTCTTCCTTTCCTGGGTTAGATTTGCAAGCTCAGGCAAGGTTCAGTTATCCACTAGCTTTCTGCCTCAGTTTTTTAGTCTCAGTCACTTGATGAGCCTTGATTTGTAGCCCTGCAGCTCAATGAAAAATCCCTCAGGTGTAAAGAGGATTTTCAGCAGGTGGGGCACTTGCTTCTGACTCAAGGTTAGTGAGCCTCAATTTGCATTTCTCTGGCCTGGTTGGGTGGTGTTCAAATCCTGAGGGAGGGGCTGTTGCTTCTCCCTGTGGCTCTGAGAAGGGGCTCTTTGAGTAATATGGCTACTGTCCTGTGAGAGGGCGATTTAGCACAAAACTCCCTGTGCCCTCCCAGCTCTCCAAGCTTCCCAGTTTCTCCATTCAGGTTCAGTCTAATCTGTCCTCTTTCTGCCAGAGCCCAAGATGAATGGCTGTAGCTAATTTAGTGCTCTGTCCCAGCCCTCCGTGCTGTGGAGCTGCTTGGGATTTTAACCCCAAGGGAGCTGCTCACAGCTAAAACAGCCACTGTCTGTGGGCTCTCAGCCCTCCCTCTCACTCCTCTGCAGTTCCTACCAGGCTTGATTTAGTGTCCTCTTTCCATCCCTGGTTATACGGGTCCTCTCCAGCTGCTTTTCTGTTGTTTTTTCCCCAGTGATTTGACTTTATTTTAGTTGTATTTTCCAGTTTGGTCCTGGGAGATGGTCTGTGTAACTTCCATTCACTCTGCCACCATTTTAGAATCCTCTGAACTCTTTATAGCTAGTTCCCTTATCTTTCTGTGCTGCCCTTATTTTAAAAATGAAGATAAATAACCCGGTCAGTGTGGCTCAGTGGTTGTGCATTGACCCATGGACTGAGAGGTCCTGGTTCCATTCCTGGTCAGGGCACATGTCCAGGTTGTGGGCCCAATCCCCAGTGGGGAGGCGTTCTGGACGCGACCAGTCAATGTTCTCTCTCATCGATGTTTCCATCTCTCTCCCTTCCTCCCTCTC